TTTTGCAGCCCATTTCTACTTAGTGCCGTCATGTACTGGGGTTGTGTAGGTCGCCTGAACTACTCATAGCAGCATCTGCCTCGCTGACACAAATACAACAGCAAATGTATAGTGCGCTCGATCCGACCGTCAAAAGTTATACACCTCAGTTCAGTGACGAGACGGAAAAGCGTTGGGCAGAAGACAAGTCGACAGATTCTCTTTTAACTCTCGCCGGAATACCGTTGCTAGGCTTGTCATATCTGGGCGATGGAAAAGATCATTATGCCTTGACGTATGTGTCAGAAGCAAACTCCATGGGAACACGTATGGGCTTTTTTGGAACCGAACACACTGTTGCAATGCCCAAGGTACGAGAAGTAAACTCTGAACTACAAAGTGCAACATCCTATGCCGCCTGGGGCACCTTCAATTGGCTAGTGTAAGTTGATACGCTGAGAGTAAGCGCCGAATATCCAGAGGGTTAACATCGTTAGGCTTATGGCTCTATTTTACCAACAGCCCGGCCTTTCATACCCTGAACACCCTCCTATATGGCCTATACCGGGAAATGGCTGGCATGAAACCTCTGAAGGCAGCCTCGAGTCAATCCGCGAAACTTTGCGGTCGACCTACATGGGCGACACATTTCCAGTCCTTTGCCGATTCTGGCGAATAATCCACCAAGTGACTTTGCGATACTATCGCGATCAGCCTTATCCACGCGAGGGCCTGAGCGATCATATCACACTTGCATTTGCCGAATACAAGTATCGCGAGCTCATAGCTTGGGCAGAAACGCTGCCACCGTCGATGTTGCGCTCGGAACAAAGTCCACATCATGTTCTGATCTTTCAGTATGTTGCAATTCTTTGTTCCTTTCTGAACGAAGTTCTTGAAGACTTCTAACAGTACGACAGTATCTGGTTTCATGTAGCAATTCTTAGTATCTTGCACCCCTTCACGGTTCGAGCGAGGGACTCTTCGAGGTCTTTACGATTCAAGACATTCCCTTGTAAGAGGAGCTCGCCCGATGCGGCCTATAAAGCGTCTGTAAATCAACTCAAGCGCCTTATAGTGGTATACCGCAAGAATTATATGTCTTCGACTTATACGATGCTATGGCATACAGGCCTGATTCATGTCGCAAACGCTAATCTTGGCGACACAAAGGACCCTGCTTGGCGTTTCTATCTCTTTTTCTGCATTCAATGCTACGGACGTCTACGGCAGGCATACCGTTTTGCAGAAGCCATCGGCCGAAGTTTACTATCAATGGCACTGCAGCAAGGCGATTTACCAGCGAGCGAGGCGCGACACATAATGGAACAGTACGAGGAAAACCGGTTAATCAACCCACCATACGACATCCGGGCCACATTTATGGCGGACTTGAACCTTGCCATGACTAACCCTTCGGAGGCCAGTGTGGAAAGCCTGGCTGACAGGTTTGAGGACATAGCGATATTCCAAGAGTTTACGAATGCGGGGGGCTCAAGCGAGGACGAGCAGATAGAATCAGATGGCAATTCTTGGGATACTCTGTGAAAACTTTTTGTGGTGGAGGCACGCGATGTGTTATGGTTGATCAGATTGAAGCTTCTTGCAATAACTATTAGCTTAGGGTTGATCTCAATAGTCCTGAAGTGGCAGGTTATAGGACTATAGACCCAAGAGTATGGAGTTGGTTGCAACAACACTCAAAATAACCAATCAATACAGCCATTGGTGTGAGCAACAGCTATACCAGCCACTCTGAGCGATCTATCATTTGGTGACACTGACGTGGAATAGACAAAGTAGAGGGCGTATGACTTTATACCTTCTTAGCTGGCCCCGTGGGGAAGCAAGTCGTTGGTTGATAGGTGGGCACGACGTGGCCAAACTGGAAGATTTGCGACATCCGTTTATGTCATCAAGGATTGATATGTTTTTATAATTATGCGATCAGAGTCGTGAACGGCTTGGAATAAGGGAGTGTACCTCTGGAGCACAAAGGCTCTGGTGATCGAAGATTCCGATGCTTCAACCGTATATCAAACTTCAAGCACTCTGGACAATCTGGGTGCTGAGGCTCTAGTAACCATAGAGTCAAACAGCTGTTAGCTTCACAAACTGTCTATCACATATCTCGGAACAACTGGGGTGCTAAGGCTCCAGTGACCAAGCAAACCAACGCAGGCGTGGTAACAGAAGCTCTTTCCTATTTTTCACCCATGAACATGTTTTTGAGGTTTTAATGAGGCCACACTTTGTCAGCGGAAACATCTCGCACCAATGGCTCGAGTGGGAGTGTTGAGATTCGTAGTTTTACGGATCAATGGCTGTTCCGATCCATTGATGGCTGGATGTGAATGTCCTCCTGTTTAATAGATTGTGCTGTTTCAGCGCTAGCCTTTTCTTCTTCAATCAATACAAAATGCTCATTTCAACACGAATATCGAAGAGATTGTGATGCTAGCCATCTCCTGTGCAGCTGGTCCTCGCAGAAATTTCAGCATGTCTTGATAGATGTGGCTATTACTGGGAATCACAAGAACAAAATAGACATCAAGTCACCAACTTCATTGAATCCTTCATCTCAGAACCTCCCTTAAGACCAGTCGCAACCCTAATGCCCATTACGGATATATCATGCATCATCCTCAAGTTGCTAACGCTTGTATGTTCGTAAGTTTCAAGGTTCACCATTGTCCCATTTTACCAAGAAGGCAGTACCATGCAGTACCCACCTACCGGCAGCACCCACCTACCGGCAAGCGAAAAAAAAGTTTCCCCATACAAACTGCTATTTTCCAACCCCCTCACAGAGAGTCACCAAAAATAGGAATAACAAACTGATTGCTATTTTCCAGTTCGGAATTGAATGCATTTTAATATTCTCTTGGCCTCTTAACTGCGCGCCCAGCGCGCGTGCGTGCCACAGGTAACTCTTCCGCCTCCGAATTTGAGCCCTCATCCTCTTCCACTCCTCCCACCTCGATCACTTCCTCAACAGCCTCTGTCTCTTCAGCTGCTTGATTTGGTTCTGAAATAGTGTCACCAGCCACTAGAGCCTCGGCTAATGTCATGAACTTCCTGTTGGGATTCAGTATCGCCTTTCTCTTCTTGCCTCTACTCAACCGCCCGACTTCCTCCTCTAAACTGGCTACTCTTGAGCTTAGGGAGGCGATCTTTGACTCTTGCGCTTCAAATCCCTTCGATATCACAGAATACCGTCTTCTTGTTGAAGGGCTCCTGTTCTTCCCAAGATCTCTGATGTGACGACTGGTCTTTGGCGTATTATCAGAGTCGACTTGTCTGTCTTTTGAGCCCTCTGATGCAGGCGTTGTTTCCTTCTTATCTGGCTGAATCTAAGGATGCATGAGCGCTTTCCGTCGTGAGATCGGCCAGTTTCCAGTCACTCTCCAGCCAGAAAGGATGTTTTTCTTCGTCATACCCACTTCCCTGGCTTTGGCATAAGCCTTAATGAAGTTGACTTTGTCCACCGGGGCAGAATCAGCCAGGGCGGCCAACTTTTGGAGTTCTTTGCGGTATGCAGCCTTGGAGGCATTGAACAGGCCGTTGTCAAGTGGCTGTAGGCCGTGAGAGCAATGGGCTGGCAAGTAACAACAATATACGTTGTTCAAGAAACACGTAGCCATCCACTCATCCTGGATTTAGGGTCAGCGGCACTTTTGGTTCAGGAGGTTCAGGACAGGCAGATACTCACAGACACATGGCTTCGATGACCATCTAATATAATGAGCCTCGCATCGGACTCATCTTCCGGTTGTATTTGGGGAAGATAGACCTCTCTGAGCCACTGAATTGCGATATGGTTGTCTGTCCAGCCGTTGTCAGACGTGATATAATACCAGTCGGCCACCTCCTTGAGCTCATCGATAAACCACTGTTGCTGAAGTTCTTTGCCTTTGAAGATAATCCCCGGTTTCAGAAGACGGCCAGTTGCCGTGACGGCCTCGATAAAGCTAGTCCAAGTGCGGGACTGAGAGCCTTTGAGGAAGGCCTTCTTCCTGGGATCACTACTGCCGACAACCAAAGAATCCAAGCCTAGATTCGCAATAGATTAGCTAAATTCTTGGTCAAAACGCCAGATACTCGCCAAATCCGGCCATTATACCGCCCTCATCAACGTTAACTGTGTTCTCCGGCTTGATCCAGCCATATTCACTCTCCCGGATATCAAAGTACCAATTGACAGCGGTCGGGGTAAAGCAATTGAACCTCGACGCCTCCTGCCGTTTTCCTATCTTTGTCTTTATGGATGGATGTCGTTTCATGAACCTGGCTAGCCAATGTACACCGACAGGCTTTTCCTTTCCTTGTTGTCGTAGGAGGGCATTGACGGTGGCGCGAACTTGACTGTGAGAGGGAGCATAGCCCAAGGCCTCTTGCCGAAGTATCCATGCGACTAATCTAGACTCTTCAGGTTTGGATAACAGCTGGGCAGGCTGTGTGACCTCTGACCTTGACGGTAGGCCTCTTAATCGGTCCCCGAGTGTCGACCGAGGGATCTCACGTTTCTGGGCGGATTTGTTCTGCGAGAGGCCGTTATCCGTGACATCTAACATTGCTTCAGCAACTTCATCCTCTGTATAAGACACGCGTGGCATTTTTAAGGCGATTATTAGGGGCTGGCATCGGGAACATTGGAAGGAGCGTCGGGGAGGCTGGGTGTCAAAGGAGATGTTTTGACAAATTTTACATTAGTCCCGTGCGACCATGCTGCATACGTAACCAAAAAAGCAATGTGATGATATCAGACTGAACGAATTCCCCGATACAACAGAAATTATTTTATACTAATAGCTTCAATTCTGGTCAAATACTGTGTAAGTGAAATTGGGCATTTTGTATGGGGAAACTTTTTTTTTGCTTGCCGGTAGGTGGGTGCTGCCGGTAGGTGGGTACTGCATGGTAGTACAGTGCACACCCTGAGGTGAGCATCCGACCAAGCTATTTGGTACTGCAATATATATCGTTAATATGCTGTCTCTGGAGGCCGAAGTCAACTCACATCTTACAGGAGTCCGATCGTAACATCCCCTTTGACTCTAGCATAGACTTCAACCTAATTATCACATCAACCCAATTGTTACATCACCCTTAACTCGTGCATAAATCTCTACCTCAACTTCAAGATCCAGCTCAATTTTGATCTTCAGGCTGCTATCCTTCTCGCCCTCTTTCGCTGGTCGATCTTTGATCCGCGATTCACGAATTGGACCAATTCTTCTACCAGGATTTGTGCGCCGTAGTGCGCCGTCCTCAGTGACCTCTTCTGCCACGGCTGCATTCTGCATCGCAAGTTTGGTAGGTTTGCGGCCTCCTGTTGGGTTGGAAGGGGACTTGGTAAGAGGTAAGTCGCCTTCGGACTCTTCGGCGCTGTTCTCTTGCTGTTCTCTGTACATGCCATTAGTCTCGCGAAGGCAGTGCCGGGAGTTGAAGACCAAGAGTTGTTATGGAGACCTACGCTTGGGACATAGTGGATCGATGTTGATAAGATTTAAAATCGATAGAGCAATATGTATAGTAACAAGGAGGATGGATGGAAAGTTGTGGTATTTTATATGCATTGCGGTACCAGGGACCCTATCCATTTAACGGGCATAAGACTTCGTACAGGTCACAGCAGCGGGGTCGGCTCAATCAGAGCGCTCGTTAGTGGCAATACCTTATCCTACACTATCTTCCGCGCAAAGAGCAAGCAGACTGGCAATAAGGCTATAACAGTGTCTTGCCCTAAGGCCCCATAGGTGCTAAGCTGTTAGAGGCACAACACTGGGGCGGGGTATGGACCGAAGTCTTATGCCAATTGAAGGGATAACAAGACATGGGACCTATCTCTGTAACCTGTATTTAGGAAATATGCTTGTGATATGAACCTACGTATGACACCAAAACTACACGAACAGGCTTGCAATGTGACCTGCGAATGACACCAGAACTCTCCCTATAACCGGTTTATTTGAAAAATAGGCATTTGCTGTGCTGTAGGGAATGGGCATAATGTGTCATAGGATCGTATGTGAATGAAATACGTTTCACTGACGCGATCCCAGGTAAAGCTTTTTTTCTTTCTTTTTTCTTTTTCCAACGAACTTCAATTTTAATTCTCCCTGGTCGTAGCAAACAGTAAATTCTGCGAGATAATTTTAAATTCAAGCAGTAATCGAGGAATCATGGTCCTAGGAATTCTGACTGCCATAGCGGCTTGTCCTGCGATCATTGGTACTACTGAAGCGATTCGCCAAGGCCAGAGAAAGAATGCCAAAGAACAACACAGGGGCGTGAAATCGAACCTCATCGTTTCTTGCCGCAGTACCTCACCCGCGGGTAGGGACGTCGATGGGTGTGCCATAGTGTTGCGCAACAACAAGGTATGCATTCTGCGAAGCGATCTGGCAACGCAACAAACTGTCCCCTTGACCGCTAATGCAGTTGATAACCAGCTATACATTGCGGTGAACAAGACTGAGGGTCGAGTCAACTGTTCAGGTCATTTATTTGCAGGTTTTATTTCCTCCCCTATCCTGACCAAGACTGGGGTCGCAAGGGAGAGGGCCTGGTGTCTACAATCTACGATGAACCTCCACAGCTAAATTGGATATACGTGGATCAAGAAACTTATGAAGTGAAGTACGGCCTGCGAGTAGAGTCAGAACACCACCTTGCTGGGCCATGGGATTGCACTCGGATTGATAAGAGAATTACCTTGGAGGGCTGGGAGGGCTTCATGGCCGTGGAAGAAGATGAGGGGTCGTGGGCGCTCTATTTTGACCGAGATGACAATGGCTTGGCTGGCAAAAGATCTAAGGAAAGGATTTTGGAAGTTGAGCTGACAAGGAAAGAGAAGAGAAAGGGTAAAGGTGAGCACGATTAAGTAGCCGCGGGGCCGGTGGGGCCAAATTTGGAGGCGGGCGTCCTCGTCGGCTGGGGAAGTATTGGAAGTAGAAGAGATAGATAGTGTGTCAGTTGTGTGCGAGGGTATGTAGACCCGCCCCTGCACATAAAGGCCGTCAAGCTGCGTACACCGAAGTGGCAAGATATTGAAAACGCAAGACCAATAATTGCGCGAGTTGATCCGCATCGCTATTAACGGATGTATACGTGTGCTAGGTCTTATCCTGAAGGCTTGGCTTAGCTTCCTCATTTGGGGAGGAACATGGCGCGGCCACGGCACGAATAGCTTGATGACCCAGTTATATAAGTTGTCGACCGTATAGGCGTCGAGCTCATATTCCTATACCGCATGAAAGAAGAAGAGACATCGCTACGTCAAACGAGGCGATTCCGGTCTTGTGGAAGGAGAGAGTAATTAGATCAATACGGTTATATAAATGATGAATGTGCCAATAAAATCCCAATGTACTGTACTGTAATAATAGATAACGGCCATATAAAGACATCTAGCTTTGGAAGGGTGTCGAATATGGCTGCTACTATAATGGACATGGTTGTGCCACCTCTGCAGATCGTCCAAGACACCAAACCTAGTGACGCGGCCTTATGGAATTCTGGAGAACGGCTTATTGTATGCCGGTACCCAACTAACTCTAAGGTATTGCGATAGTGTTGTTTATGTTGCGGAGGGGTGCTTAGTGAAAATATTTATTTAACTTGATTCTTTATTATTGAGATGAGAGTTCTTCTCTGGTTTATATCTCTAGATGATTTCGTCTAGGACTTTGAACTCTAAATCTAGGACTTTCAGATTAACAGTCTGACTCCTGAAAGGAAGGGAGATCCCCGGGCTTTCCAACGGATAGCCGTTCTCTAAACGAGACCAAAACAACTTGCGGCTAATCGTTCAGGTGAGCGCTATGAGCTTCAGAGCTACCGTGATGAAAATAGCACCACTGGCATCGCTAGACTCACTCTTTAGCGTATTATGTACCTGAGCCGCTTGACGGAAAACGACTGAGGTAATGGAAGCAGGCGCAATTGCACAGATGATAGTGCAGAGAGCATGTATTCGTCGTTGTCGATCCTCTTGAGGCAATCCTGATTGGAAAACTCGATACCATCTTGTTAGTGTCTATAGATTATGATGATAATGTTCTGTCTTAGCTTCCAGGACCTTATATGTTTGAAAATGCGTGGCCCATGACGTTGTATCATCAAGTACTGCCTTGTTGACTTCGACATGTACACTCGGACCACATACAGTGAGATATCTGACCAAGCAACACCCGACATGAAATTTGAGTTTGAACTCGATCAAACGACCATCGTTCAATCACACCTTCGCTACTTGGTTGAGACATTGAACAACAAGGGCAATACTCCATGATATGCGAAAGTGAGAAATGCCCTGCTCGTCGTTGCTCGTCGTCATTCACGTACCATGTTCATTGAAGTACGAACGCAGGAGCAAGCAACAAATGACCAGTAACAGTTTTCTCGTCATGAAGCCAGGATTTCTGGAGGTAGTACATGGCAATCTAGTGAGAAGTATATATGAACGATATCAAGAATTTATAAGTGAACCCTTCTGTCACAGCGTCTCCCTAAGGTCGCTCTGACGCACGGGCTGTATGAAAAAGATAAATTGTATTGTATTGTATGACGAAGAAGGATCAAACTTGGATGAAACAGATCGTGAGAACTTCGTTATACCTGAAGAATATAATCCGGTCCAAGGAGGTATAAAACAGACTAACTTCAGTCATTCAGTTAGAAATCAAGAGAGTCAATGCATAGTCAAAGTCCCTCGTCAATTGTGACACCTTCCAGTAACCCTCTGTGCTTGCCTGTGGCTTGCGATCGGAAATGCAAAGCGTTTACTTATCCTAAGCAGAGCCTTGCATCACAATGGACAAGTGTCCTCATAGGTAACACATGTTGTCACAAGGAGGCCACCTAATGTCAATCGCTTAGGCCATTCCATCCTTTCGCCTAATTCACAATTCACACTTTGAAGGTTGCGACTTGCCGCATGGACGTGCATCATCCCGATCACATGCCCCGCCCCCAGGAGCCGTCCGCCAATCGGAGGCAAAGCAGACACACCAAGTCCAGATACAGCACAGGCTGCGTTGAGAACAAGTCGCAGCGATGTGCCAAGGGCAATAAAAGAGAGCCACAGCAACGTAAACCTCCCATTTGCAAAACAAGAGTCTTGTACCGGCCTTTTCAATCATGTTAAGCACATGCCATGGGGTACTCGTTTGCTCTCACGTGCAAGAAATAATAGCTGGGGCTAGCTAAATGGATTTATGAACCCTATTCAGAGACATGACGCCATCTTACAACTGAGCATCTTAGCAATTCCTACAGCTGTGCCTTCTTCACATGTCAATCTTTAGGCGTTTTTCGGTGCGTTGGAGAACGGGCAGATTAGCGCCACACGCCGCGCAAGTCGGCCGTCAAACATTACTCAACAAATCGAAATAAAGGTGCTGTGCTCAACAGAAATGCACAAATCAAACTTGAAAAATGGACATATTGCTGATATGAACACCATAACCTCACGGAGAACTTTTTAATGTCTCTTTGAAATTGTGGCAGCGCACATATTTTTCCCTCGGGCGATATCATCACTCGCTGGGTAACCAAACTACACCCTTCTCAAGCTTCTCCATTGGCGGTAACATACCTACCATCACCATGATAGGTATATCCGCCTGGGACTACGTTTTCATTCGAACATGCATATTCCTCCTGCACCTCATTGCTCCCCTTAGTGTTATCTATTCGCTGGTCCGCTGCTTAATCCATCTTCCGTTCCATATCCCCCATGTGCTAGAGGCGTGGCTCGCTCTAGAGGCAGTATTCTACCTTGTCGTCTATCTCCCGCGTAAGAATTACCTCCAGACAGTCGTGACACATCCCACTGCCGGCCGTGACGACCGCCGGAGGTTGTTCTGGCGCTGCCACAACAATATTCCCGATCCGGACCGGTACTTAACGAGATGGTTCCGGGATGCGCCGGTAGCAGAGATCAAACGGGAGAACGTCAAGGACTTCTTCCGATGGGCGTTCCTAAACTCCGGCGAGCCTGATCCGGCATATGACGAGGAGCTGGAGGAGTATATTGGAGAGATGGAGAAGTTGTTGGGGAGGAAGCTGGAGCCTGGCCGTGGTGATGCGCAGTGCCTTAGATTGACGCTTGATAAGGTTGAGATGTTACATCGGAGTTTGATATGGTATCTGGTAAGTTTTCATGGAGGACTACATAATGAACTTCTCGCCCACAGTACAAGTCAGGGAGGTTTACTAACTTGATTCTATAGTGTGTGTTTGTCGTTGATACGTTAGCGTCTATCTATTTGCGCTACTACTCCTTCGACTTTCACCGCACGTCGTTGTTCCAGTTTCTCGCCGTCTTCCCGACGCGCCTCCTCACTCTCTTCACCACTTGTCGTTCGCCTGCGAAAACTCTCACTTACTGGTACCGGCCGCACACCTCCAGGACCAGACTCCCCATTTTATTTATACACGGTATCGGTGTTGGCCTTTACATGTATATACCATTCTTGGCCGACCTTAATGCCGAAGATAGCAAGGACCCGTCGGATGGGCAGGTAGGGATCATAGCTATAGAGATTATGCCAATAAGCTCCAGGATAACAGCTGAGGCAATGTTAAAGGATGAGATGTGCGAGGAGGTTCATTGCATTTTAAAGGCACATGGATGGGAAAAATTTATGCTAGTGTCACACTCGTGAGTCGCCCTCCTGTTTTCTCTAGACTTGCGTCTTGGTCATTGCCGTATATTAACTTCATCTCTATGAAGCTACGGAAGCGTTGTTGCTACGCATCTCCTTCACACGCAACAGATCACAGGCAAGATTGGGCCGATTTTGTTTGTTGATCCTGTGTCATTCCTGCTACATCTCCCTGAGGTAGCGTATAATTTTGTACTGTTCTGCTTACATCACTACTAATGGTCTCCGCTAACCTGGACTCTTCAGATCTGTCGGAAGCCAACCCAGGCTAGTGAACACTTGCTCTCTTACTTCGGCTCTAAAGACATGGGCGTCGCGCATACGTTATTCCGACGTTTCATCTGGTCCGATAATGCCTTGTGGAAGGAAGACATCCAGCACCATCGTGTGGCTGTTGTGCTAGCCGGCAGAGACGTGATCGTAGACACGAACGCAATTGTGGCGTATCTGACGGGCACACATGACTGGTCTTTGGAGACTGAAAGCTGGGAAAATGGAGTATGGAAAGGGGACGGGCTGGAGGTGCTGTGGTTTCAAGATTTAGATCATGGAGAGGTTTTTAGCCGGAGGAGGACGAGACAGAGGTTAGTGGATATTGTTAGGAGATTCGTCGCGGAGGAATAGTTGTCTGTATTTAGTCTAATAGTGGCAGCGACCTGAAATCCTTTATACTTGGTAGTTTCGATTCTTGCAGGCCTATACTGGCGAAGGCGGGACGAGGGAGGTTATTAGTTATATGAATGAAAACAGAAAAAGCCATTACGGCGTTTTGGTAGTAAGCTAGGTTCATAGATCACAAGGAGGATGCACTCTCCTTGCTAGGTTTCACTGGTCCCTCCAAGTCTCTTCTTGTCAGATATGGTTATCGGGAAGATGACATGTAGTCTGACTTCCAATGGATGAGCATGGACATCCCATTTACATGGCAGTACATTCACAAGTGTCCCACTGTTAGGGATCAGATCAGGTCACCCATCCGGGGGTCCCATCCGCCACTCTAACCCTGACAATCGCGACGATCGAAAGTAGAGTTTCCAAACAAAGCACAAAGCCAGGGGAGATGCTGAGTTCGAAATTTGATGCAATTGCTAAGTGACATAATCTTGGAAAAATCACGCCACTTATTGCCACAGTTCGAGGGCCTCATTTGCTGAAATTTAACACCCCTACGATAACGAGAAAGACTACCATTCTAAGGATGCCTGGTATAAAGGGATATCTATCGCAGTATTGTATCACAACCAGACAGTATCATGCCGGCGTGTCGCAAACGCAACTGTGACGTGATGGGGGAAAACGGATGAGAGGGGGGGCGGAGGAAGAACGCCATTTGTTACGAACACATCCCTCCAACTTCCTCGGAGCACTCCGCTTCGATGTAGCCAATCCGCGCTAGTTTTATCTTCTTCCACCAGCAGGGACGCATTGCGTTATGCCCCAACAATGCGACAATGCGACAATGCGACAACGCGACAACGCGGACACGAAAGCAGGAATTACCCGCCGGGAATGTTGATGGGCCTAAAGAGACAGCGCATCGCTACCACCCTGCGAAACCGCAGTCTAAACCTGCCCCGTTTCTGGCGACTAAGACGAGGCTGAAAATGGGTTAGATTTCTACAACCCCGCCTTGCCCACTTACTTCTAGTGGAAGACGTTGGAGCCGGTGGATTGGTCAACCTTCACAGACGTTTGCAGCATCAAGACAATCTGGCCGACTCCTCGGGCCAACACATCTCCCAGTCTAACGAAATCCTGACCAGCCCCGATTGGGAGGCGAGAGGTAATCCCGATGCACATTTTTCAATAGCCGGGACTCACACATCCTCTCAAGATATTGACCAAGCGGCCTTCAACTCGCCATCCCCATCCCCATCCCCATCTCACACACTCACAAGACCTCAACCTCCGGCCAAGAAGGCCGTACGAAAACGGAAGACGAGTTCTGGTGAGCCTCTGGCTCCTAAACGGCTTCAAATCAATCTTAAGCCCGCCTTAGACACTGAAGTTGATATACAAGGAGAAGCAAGCCATGCTGACAGGGGTGATATCAGAGGTCATCGAAAAAAAAGATAGAGCGGATAAACGGGCACAGGAAAGAAATCGAGTTGCGGCCAGTAAATTCCGCTATCGGAGGTATCGGGGCGAAAAACGCGATCCGATCCACTAAAATAAAAACTCAAGACCTGTTCGAAAATCCGGGAATCCCCTTTCCCTTCAGGATTCAGACTGTTAGTCTGAAAATCCTAGATTTAAAGTTCAAAGTCTTAGATGAAATCATCTAGAGGTATAAACCCGTGAAGAACTCTCATCTCAATAATTAACAATCAAGTCTTATAAAATATATTTTCACCCAGCACTACTGCGCAATAAACAAAAAGACCTCAACGCATGACTCGCGACCGAGCGAGTTCTTTCTACTATAGAAATCGCATCTGATCTATCCGTTCATCTAACATCTCCTTTACAAAGCGCAATGGGAACCTCACGGTCTGCACCCCAGGACGTGGCATTGCGCCAACGCTATCCTTCAGGGGCAGGCTTATCAACAGAATCTATCAACACAGGCAAGGTCATCGAGAACAAAGCCGAGAAAGCCCTCCTCCTATGGGACGACCTCCCCGCCTGGCGCCGCGACAATGCCTTCATTCACTCTGGCTATTGTCGAATCCGTCCTACCTACCTGCACTCGCTTCGCTCACTATTCAATCTGCACAATGAATCTGTCAACATCTGGTCACACCTCCTCGGTGCCATTGTAGCTGTCGCTTGCTCGCTCTACTTGTACTACGTCATCCGCCCACGCCACGATTTTGCTACACTATCTGACGTGCTCGTCTTCACATGCTTTATTGGTGGCGCAGGGTTGTGCCTTGGCATGAGCGCGACGTTCCATGCTGTGCTAAATCACAGCCAGAAGGTGGCGCGGTGGGGGAATAAGCTAGATTATACGGGAATTATCGTGCTGATTGTGGGAAGCTTTGTGCCGGCACTGTATTATGGCTTCTTCTGCATGCCTACGCTGCTCACGGCGTACTTGTGCCTAGTGAGCTTTGCTTTGAGAGGGCGCGACCTAACGGTGAACGGCCACTGACAAAGACCCAGATATGTCTGCTTGGCACCGGATGTGCCATTATCTCGTGGGTAGAGCAGTTTCGCACCCCAAGGTGGCGACCATACCGAGCCATGATGTTCGCCGGCCTCGGCTTATCTGGCTTCATCCCTATTATCCACGGCGTCGCCATCTACGGCTACAAGGGGCTCGATGACAGAATCAGTGTTACCTGGATCATCATCCATGGCGCCATGTATCTCTTTGGTGCAGTTCTCTATGTGGTCAGGCATCCCAATCGTTTTCCATAGTGGTGGTGACTAACTGACTGACTGGGAATGTAGGCTCGATGGCCGGAGAGGAGTTTCCCAGGTGCATTCGACATCTGGGGCAGCTCCCATCAGATCTTCCACATGTTTGTCCTGCTCGCTGCGGCAACGCATTTTTATGGCATGATGAGGGCGTTTGACTACCATCACACGGTCTTGGGATCCCAGTGCTTGACCGAATAAATCGAGACCTTTTCGGTTGTGTACCGCTCTCTATGGACGTAAGGTCGTTTATCATTATTATTCCGTTATATGGGTCATTCCCAAACCCAGGACCCACGATGCACGCAAGACCACATCCCATCGCTACTGCTGCCCTGGACCCGATAGTTCGGATTCTACTCCACCACCGTGATCCTCATCAGCAGCTCGTGTGTAACGTCATGAGAAGATCCATGGACCTGGAAGCGCCGCTGCCATCATTCACATCGCCTATACCGGATTGACTCTATGGCATGCGTCATCTGCTCCCCTTCTCAAGACATCATGAGTGCACCGTCACCATAATCTTCTTGACGCAAACGCTTCTGCGCACCGCTATCAGGACACAAACAGCCTCTAGGAAATTTTAGCAAATAATACTCTAGACGAAGCAATAAAAGCGAACAATGACACTGGGCCACCATATGAAATGGGTCAGGTCTGCACGCGATCTCCGATGGGACGTAGCCCCAACTCCGTTGTTTCGCCACCGAAGGCTTCCAGCAATATTCTAGAGTGAGTGTGATCCATGAGAGGAAGATTTGAAACTATATTGCGACTATAGTAATGGCTGAAAGATATTTCATTATTGACTCTGCAGCTGCATCGTTCTGATATGCAGAAACGATTGGATTGGATCATATCCAAGTTGGAAGGGATTAATGTTATCGGTGACATCACAAGAATTATAATCAGAAGCCACGAATTTCATAGTCCAGCTACAGGAACCTGGACTTTCTCACAATTTAGTGGCCAACCATGGCTCCTCACGAGCCGTTCCTTTTCCTCTGGCGCGGTGATGGCATCCGTTAGGCACACGGTGTTAGTGTGAAGCTCTTGCGGGGGGAGGAATCGGGCAAGCCGACCTCAGATTGCTGGATGGAGCCCTTCTCCAAGATCTGGCTTGATGACACCTAATGCCAAATTCGCTGATTAGTATCCCCCTAGATGCCGCATCATATGCGCCCCCGGCACCTTGCCTGCATTGCAATTCGGTTTAATATCGCCCGCGGAATTTCGTTCATTGTTGTTGCTATGCTAGGCAGTCATGAGAATAAGGGACGAGTAGATCGTAACCAAGCGCCCGCGCCGTGTAATCATCAATATAGCATACGCCGTAGTAATGTCGCCCATAAGTCTCGGGATGCCCGGGCAGAGCTGGACGAGGATGTGGGAGAAGGTGCTAGCAAAGAGGAGTAGGCCTTCATGTAACTACAGTGCAGCTATCTGGGCACCTGAGGAACTGATACGATGGGGATCCCAACGTTGTAGTTAGCCTGCAGAGGGCGATAGCGGCCTTGAGGTTGGGATCTCCGAGGATCTCCTTGGGAGCTTGGTTCCAGAATCTGGGTGCTCTCGAGGTTTAGTAGCAATATTATCAAGAGATGTGGGCTACATGATCCTCACTCATACTTTGGACTCACAAACTCAAGAACGAAACTGGTAGCCACGAAGCGGTAAGCAAAGCGTGAACAGCACCACTCTCACCCGGCCTCAGCCGCGGTTCGTCGACCCCTGAACATCTTTTTTGGTTGCTTCAATGGCGCTCCTCTATTCTGTGTCGTTGGTGCCGTCTAAGTTTCGGCGGTGGGGGACGAAGTCGACTGAGCCAGCTAGGCCTCCCTAAGATCGGCTACCGTGCCAAGGTCGGTCTGTCGCTGGTCCTCCTCCCTTCTTCTTAATATAAAAATATAGAAGAGTAAGAAACAGACAATTCAAGTCATTTCCCCTCTTCCTTAACGTCTTTTCTTATATCAGTCTAGCTTGACTTCGGAATGAATAGTTGGACAGCAATATAAACCAGAATTTCTAGCACTGCACGGCCCCGCTTTATGATCACTTGTTGTAGAAAGTTTGATGAAATATCGGCCGAGGATTTGACTGAATGGAATTAACTCGGCTACCTATGTTCACACTCCCAGACCTTCTCTTGTGCGTTACAGTTTCCTCTAAGACGACTCCGCGAGCATATAAACGATCCATTGAAAACAAGTTGCACTCTCTACGAGCCCTACTTCTGCCTTGCATGCCCATTATACTATTCCCTATCAGTGTGTCAACAAATTGGCTCCTCAGCTGTCAATTAAGTTTTCCTTGTTCTGCTGCTCACCCCAGGGCCCAGTCTCCCCCCGATCCCTGGCATTGGCCTTCGCATCCTTAGCGGCTCGCTGGTAGAACTCATTGAGGATCTTGGCGGGAATACGGTTGAGCAACTCCTTGGGGTAGATTCGGAGGAGAGCCCATGCGAGATCAAGAGACTCGTAGATGGTTCGCGATTCGTACTGGCTCTGGCTAATGAACTGGTGCTCAAACTTCTCCAAGAACTCCAGAGATAGCTTATCCTCAGCCGACAGAGCCTCCTCGCCGACAACAGCCTTCATGGCCGCTGCATCACGACCGATAGCATACTTGGCATACAGCTGGTTCGACACATCACCGTGGTCCTTGCGGGTCATGCCTTCACCAATGGCAGACTTCATCAGACGGGACAGCGAAGGCAGCACGTTAATGGGAGGGTAGATACCGCGGTTGTCCAGAGCTCGGTCAACAAACACTTGACCCTCAGTAATGTAGCCAGTCAAATCAGGAATTGGGTGAGTGATATCGTCATTGGGCATGGTCAGAATGGGGATCTGGGTGATGGGTCCGTTGCGGTCCTTGACACGACCGGCTCGTTCGTAGATGGTGGACAAGTCAGTATACATGTAGCCGGGGTAACCGCGTCGACCGGGTACTTCTTCTCGAGCGGCTGACACTTCTCGAAGGGCATCGCAGTAGGCAGAGAGGTCTGTGAGAATGACCAAGACGTGCTTCTCGAGCTGGTAGGCGTAGTATTCGGCAGTGGTGAGGGCGAGACGGGGAGTAATGATACGCTCAATACTGGGCGGGGTCAGTCTAGTCTCAATTGCATGATATCGTGACGGCTGCGCTTACGTAGGGTCGTTCGCGAGGTTTAGGAAGAGAGTAACACGCTCCAAGCTGCTGTTCTCCTCAAAATCGCGAGTGAAAAAACGCGCAGTCTCGTAGTTCACACCCATGGCGCCAAAGACGATGGAAAAGTTCTCCTCGTGACCGTCGTGGACGCCCTTGTTGGTAACACCCTGCTTCTGGATCAGACCAGCCTGACGGCAAATCTGAGCGGCGATTTCGTTATGAGGCAGACCAGAGGCGGAGAAGATGGGGATCTTTTGTCCTCTGGCAATCGAGTTCATGGTGTCGATGGCAGAGATACCGGTCGAGATCATCTCTTCGGGGTATTCCTAGGGTTGTTAGCCAAAGCGTGAACACCGGAGCGCCTGCAGGAAGCCTTACACGAGAATAGGGATTGATGGGACTGCCTTACACGAGAATAGGGATTGATGGGACTGCCGTTGATGTCGAGGTAGTCCTCGGCCAGCACCTTGGGACCCTTGTCGATAGCTCGTCCAGACCCATCAAAGATACGACCAAGCATGTCCTCAGACACACCGAGCTTCAAGCTCTGGCCGGTGAACTCGACATTAGTCTATTACGTCTCAGTCCAAATTTCTTATTATGGCACTCATTGTTGCCTACCTTCTTGACATCGATACCGGAAGTACCTTCGAAGACCTGTTACACTTATTAATCGCCTTGTTGAAATATATCGCGTTTCGAGGAAGTACCTGTACGACCGCTCGATCACCTGTTCATCACTGTGAGCCTGTGCCGCGTCATTACCTCCAGGTTTTGTTTAATAACCGCACGAACCTCGAGCTTCCAGGACCTGACCCGATCGCTTCGTGCCATCGGGAAGAGTGAGGGTCACGATCTCGTTGTATCGCGGAAATTTGACCTAGTGTTGTCAGCTGGTAAGACATAGGCTGAGCAGATCCTTGCATGCCGACGTACGTTCTCGAGGATGACGAGGGGGCCGTTGACGCCACCAACGGTGTTGTAGCGAATCCTCGGGATGACCGAGTACGACGACGATTCGCGTGGGTCTCCCATAATGAGCGCTAGATCGAGCAACAGGCGGGAGAGCAGAATGAGAGGTAGATGACGAAGGAGAAGCCGATCCAGAAGATGGAAATTAGGAAACGGGGAAGGCGCCTCAAGGTGGGCTGAGGTTGGAGGAGATTGAGTTAGCTTCACCAAAGTGGAGCACCCTGCGCCAGCTCAAAGACGCACGACCAATAAACTCACTGGGAAGCTGGTACTAAGTCTTCTTTCTCTAGGGTTGCCGAATAAAGCTACTTGTCGTTGTACCTATCTACTCTTCCCATTTGATCGGAGAATTGTGGAGGTCAGCTGGGCAGATACTGTGAGATGCACAAAATACCATCTCGGTCTTGGGATGAGCGTCGAGGTATAACGGCAAATTAAAAGGGCAGCAGCTTCCTTTGTCAGTTTTATAAAACTCGACGGCACCTAGCGGGACCAGGTAAGGGCGGTATTAACCAAAGGTTTGACGGATTTTCACGGTGGAAATGATGAGAAAGGAGGATTGGCGGGATTGTGTGAAGAGGGAGAGGGTGCGGGGACATGCCCCTTCGACTCCGGTAAGCCTCTAGTTAGTTACATAACCAGCACGCACCTCAGTAACCCCATCTTCCCATTTTGTTATCCTCTCCCTTTTTTATTATTTTATATTTAGAAACGACTTATCGCTACATATATACTATCCAGAGTCGGATTCGAGTGACTGAGCCACATCTGTAGTAAAAACATATGTTTTAGCGATTACCAAGATTTACAAGATGCTAAGGACGCAGTCGGGGAATCCCGCCGCTCGGAAGCGTGTCGACGATATTGCTCGAACCAATCATACTTATGTCTCGGGCACCACCTGATCAGCGACAAACCATAAGCCTAGGCTTACGGAGCCTCCGTAACGCCTTCATTGGCCAACGTTGTGGTCGGGACCATTTCGTTGTAAGGGGCAAGTTTACACTTCACAGGATGTCCTGCAGCCAGGGGTCCCTACATAAGCACACAACGAGCGATGGATCGTGATGTGTCTAAGGGAAGCTTCTATACTAATCTTTCCGTCATTGGTGTGCCTGTATGGTGTGTTGTGTGTTGTCTTATAGACTTCTCAATAATATGTATGTCCTCTATCCTTATACAGTACATTCTGATAGATACCTTAGCTTCCCTCTAAGGCCACACCCGGCGCAAAACAATAATAATACGACCGCATAACCATGTTTAAGGGCGTGCAGTCGGCGATTCGACATTCCTGCCACATTATGACGTCACAAAATGCAGATGCCTAAGAAGTGTGTGCAGCACGCAAAGCAGCCATCGAATCTGCGGTGCCCCATCGGTCCTGGTAACTGCAGTTACAGTTTGACAGGGGGCTGTGTGACGGTCCGTATGGACTTAGATTTTGATTCGCCTCAACAAGACATGTCAAATGACACATTGGTATTTCTAGGCTTCCCAGAATGTTTATACCAAGTTTTAATACACGCCTTCACCATGCCATTTGTTGGGATCGCCATTAAGGTGCATTGTGTTATAATGCGACATTTGTCCCCAGTCTGAGCTTTTTTCTGAACAACCGTATAAACTGTTCATTAGAAGAGCACACCGCTCCCTTGCCCATAAGACGTACAAAGTTTTGTTGGTTCTGTCTACAATGGTATCAGTAAGTGAACAGACGTCGACATGTCGAAGGACGTGGTCTATGTGCACCGTCCCCGACAATATACAGAGATCTTGCTGACCCAACGTGCTTGTAATCAGGCTGGCGAGGAAACAGTACAAATCGAAGATGGTGAGAACAAATATGCGATACACCAAGACAATATGGCAACGCAACCAGGACACGGTTCCGAGGGCTTTACCTTGAATCTAGCGGATGCCCTCACGCCTGATCCGGGCACTGAAGATATGTTCAAGACTGAGGACAATACGTTTGCATTTTCGCCAGGGCATTTGTCAAGGATGTTCAATCCCAAGAACCACAATGCCTTCTACGCGCTAGGTGGCCTCGTGGGCTTAGAAAAGGGGCTCAAGACTAATAGGAATGCTGGATTAAGCGTCGACGAAACGACTTTCGACGAGTCAGTGGCCTACGAGGATGTTGCGGCCAGTGATGCTCCCAAGTACGGCACTGCTGGCGATAAATTGCCTGAACCAAAGACTCCGACGAGTATTCCACCTGCCACCTACGACACCAAGGCTAGTGGCTTCTTAGATCGCAGACGCATTTTTTCCGAGAATCGACTTCCCGACAAAAAAAATAAAACACTCTTGCAGCTAGCGTGGCAGACCTACAACGACAAAGTCCTGATTCTCCTGACTATTGCGGCTGTAGTCTCCCTTGCTCTTGGCCTCTATCAGACCTTTGGAGGTGCGCATGAGGAAGGCGAGGTAGGTGTTGAGTGGATTGAGGGCGTCGCAATCCTGGTTGCCATCGCTATCGTGGTTATAGTAGGAACTCTAAATGACTGTAAGCGAGCTTACACATGCTGCATGCAGGGAAATTTACTAATCATCTTTTAGGGAACATGCAGCGGCAATTCAATCAGCTAAATAAGAAGCACGACGATCGATTCATCAATGTTGTCCGATCTGGAAAGCCCACCGAGATCTCCATCTTCAATGTGCTTGTGGGTGACGTTGCTCTTCTTTCTGTCGGAGACATCGTCCCAGTTGACGGAATCTTCATCAAAGGCCATGGCGTGAAGTGCGACGAGTCTTCTGTGACAGGTGAATCGGACTTGATGAAGAAGACGCCTGCAATTGATGTCTATGCTGCCATCGAAGATCTGGCCCAGAGGAGACTTGACAATATCAACGTGGATAAGCTTGATCCTTTCATCATCTCCGGTAGCAAAGTTCAGGAAGGATCCGGTAACTTCCTTGTTACGGCAGTTGGTGTCAATTCTGCGTATGGCCGCATCGCCATGTCCCTTCGAACTTCACAGGAAGACACGCCCTTGCAGAAGAAGCTTAACGGTCTGGCTGATCGTATTGCCATATATGGCGGAGGAGCGGCACTTCTATTGTTCATTGTTCTCTTTATCAAGTTTCTCGCTCAGCTTCCATCCAACAAAGACAGCCCAGACAAGAAAGGTGCGCAGTTCTTGGAACTCTTCGTTGTCAGCGTGACTGTCGTCGTGGTAGCTGTACCCGAAGGCCTTCCACTTGCTGTTACCTTGGCTCTTGCATTTGCCACGACTAGAATGATGAAGGACCACAACCTGGTTCGAATCTTGAAAGCTTGCGAAACCATGGGCAACGCCACCACTATTTGCTCTGACAAGACCGGAACTCTCACACAGAATAAGATGACGGTCGTAGCTACGACCCTGGGGGCAGACATCAGCTTTGATGGTGCAGAATCTATTCCAAGCAGCATTGGGAACGTGGCAGACAACGCCGATGAGTTATTGTCAGAGTTGTCCACCTCTGAACTCATTCCAAAAGTGTCTGCTGAGGAGTTCGTGCAGTCCTTGGATTACGAGATTAAACGGTTGATCATTCAGTCAAATGTGGTTAATTCCTCAGCTTTTGAAGGTATCCAAGATGGAAAGACAGCATTCATCGGCTCCAAGACCGAGGGTGCGTTGTTAATGTTCGTCCGAGATGAACTAGGTGCTGGGCCAGTGCAGGAAGAAAGGGAAAACGCCATCATTGTACAACAAGTGCCATTCGACTCGGCGGAGAAGTTCATGGCGTCGGTTATCAAGCTGCCTACCGGAAAGTTCAGGGCATACGTCAAGGGAGCCTCCGAGATTGTACTCGAAAAGTGTACCAGGGTTGCCACGCACGTTGGTTCTCGGGAGTGGTCCACAGTTGAGCTTACAAGCGCGCATCACAAGGCTTTGAAACAGACCATTACGTCTTATGCTGGCCAGACCCTCAGAACCATCGGCTCTACTTATCGTGATTTCGACTCGTGGCCTCCAGAAGGCTCTGCATCGGATGACGATCCAAGCCTTGCCAACTTTAGCAAAATACATCACAGCATGACTTTGCTCGCCATCTTCGGCATTAAGGACCCTCTACGACCTACAGTCATCGATGCCCTCAACGATTGTCGACGGGCGGGTGTTGTTGTCCGCATGGTGACGGGAGATAACATTTTAACGGGGAGTGCTATTGCGCGGGAGTGCGGCATTTACCGTCCTGAAGAAGGGGGTGTTGTCATGGAAGGGCCAGAATTCCGGCGGAAAAGTAGCGAGGAGCTCAAGGACATTGTACCATACTTACAGGTTCTCGCTCGATCTAGCCCGGAGGATAAGCGAATTTTGGTAGAGACTCTCAAGAGCCTTGGAGAAACGGTGGCAGCTACCGGTGATGGCACGAACGATGCTCCGGCTTTGAAGCTGGCTGATGTTGGATTTGCCATGGGTATTGCCGGTACGGAAGTAGCCAAGGAGGCAGCTGATATCATCCTCATGGACGACAACTTTGCATCCATTGTGAAGGCTCTACTGTGGGGCCGCGCCGTTAATGACAGCGTCAAGAAGTTCTTACAGGTACGTATTTGATGCCCATGTTAATGCAACTCATCCATGCTAATTCTTGGCTCTAGTTTCAACTTACTGTCAACATTACAGCTGTCGTTTTGACCTTTGTCTCGGCTGTGTACTCGGATCGGGAGCAATCAGTTCTCAATGCCGTTCAACTGCTCTGGATCAACCTCATCATGGACACCTTCGCAGCTCTGGCTCTGGCCACAGATCCTCCAACTCGCAGTGTTCTGGACCGGAAGCCTGACAGGAAGTCCGCCCCACTCATAACTTCTCGGATGTGGAAGATGATTATTGGCCAGGCGATATGCCAGTTGGCAATTTCATTCGTTCTGTACTTTGGAGGTGACTTGCTCCTTGGATATAATTTGAGGGAGGAGCAAGAACAGAAAAGGTTAAACACACTGGTCTTCAATACATTTGTGTGGCTTCAAATCTTCAATGAGTTCAACAATCGACGACTAGATAATCGACTGAATATCTTCGAAGGTATTACGCGCAACTGGTTCTTTATGGTTATAAATGTTATCATGGTTGGGGGACAAGTACTGATCATTTTCGTTGGTGGCCAAGCCTTCAAGATTGTTCCACTAAATGGAAAGGAATGGGGTTTATCTATTGGGCTTGGAGTCATCTCTATCCCCTGGGGTGCCGTCATCCGCAAGTTTCCTGATTCGTGGGCCGAGAAAATTGGATTGACTGCCACCTGGCCCTTTGCCAAACTCATCTCTTTCCTCCGCTTATTCAAGAGAAACAAGGACAAGAAGGTTGATGAAAAGGACATGGAACAGGGAAAGAAAGATGATGAGAAGTGGGAGGAATTCCGTCCTCCGCCTTTGAGGACTATTACATCCCTCAGAGGTCCCAGAGTCAGCGAACACATTGGTCTTAGGGAGCGAGTACATAATGCTAAAGGTAGGGCGAAGGGTGGAACGAAGGGGTAGGGTTATTCCTCGCCATTAATTGTATAAGAGAGTCAGAGGCGATTCGCCATACGCATCATGCTTTGAACAAAGTCTGTGTCCAGTGGAATGACCACCGGCAAGAGGAAATGGAACCACAGCCTCTTGTACCGAAGCTCGCCGAACCGTGGACTGATTATATAAATTCATAGCGCAACAAGTTTCGATCCTTATCATTCATGAAGGAAGGTATCGCTATATCATAAGAAAATGACAATCATGGATCAAGTCTGTGCCTTGCAGTTTTGGCTTAGAACACTGGTTATGCTATTAGATCCGGCAACCGCGTCTAGTTATTACGACTGGTGTTGTAGTATCTAGTAACGTACATGATAAGCGAGTGTCTCAGACAAGTAAGTGTCTCACCTCACCTTACACCTAAAAAGCTGACTTTTCAAAGCGTATATAGAATTCAGGCTAAGCCTAAAAAAGCTAAAAGCTGTATAACTTACTTTTAACTATATAAGAAAGCTATATACTTCATAAGAGAATTATAGCTAAATTATTTATAGAGTTATTAAAGAAAATCTATTTATACTGTATTTTAACAGGTTTTATATATAATATAATATTAAAAAAAATCTAAAAAATAGTATCTTAGTTTTAAAAGCTATACTACTTAAAACTATAGTTTTTAATATTTTCTATTATTTTATTTTAGCTAAAAAAAAAAAAAAAAAGTGCTATAGGGTAAGCTGTTTTTAGGTAGCACAGTATAGTGAGACACTCACTTGTCTGAGACACTCGCTTATCATATACGTTAGAGTATAGTCTCTAGCTGTTGGACCGCTAATCTCATCATCGCCTGTATATCCAGAACGCTGAGACGGATACCCTTGTAGATAAGCTCCTCTCTGCCTTTGTCCCAGCTTACTGAACCGTGCGCTGCCGTGTTGTTTTGTGCAGCCATGCCAAAATTTCGGAGCCGGATGATAAACTGCGTTGGTGTCGTTTCCCAACCCTCGCCCCCGCCTACCATAAACCGCCGAGTCATCTCGGAGATCAGTGCAAAATGGCTTGGGCTATTTTCCTCTGCTTCCTCCTGGCTTTGCCCCTGTTGCATCTTTTGCTTGATAGTTTTGGCTCGTTGGTCTACGGCGTATTTGATGATACCGGTAATCCATCGCTACCTTCGTCCCTTTGACCACACCAAGATCGATGAGAATGGCCCCCTGCCGAAGGTATTCTAAGCTGCTGAAGAGTGGTCTAACCACATACAGAGAGTGTCAGCTGCACTCTTTCAACCAGGCTCTCATCTCGCTGTAGATGAGTGTATGGTCCGCTATACAGGCAGATCAACAGCGACAACCGTTGTCAAAGGAAAGCCAACCCCGCTAGGCTTCAAGATCTGGGTCATCGCCCAAGAAGGCTTCTTTATTCGGTGGCTTTGGCATTTTAAAGGCTCAAATTATGATGCCCTAAGCAGGGGGCCAAGGCGAAAGAGAGGTCGCCCTAGCACACAAGAGAGAGAGGCAGCTAGCAAAGAGGCGTCTGCTCGCATACAACTAGGTAATACACAGGGCGTCGTTATTTCCCTATGTGATATGCTGCCAAAGCAGATATATCACGTTTTTGTGGATAACCTCTTCTCAACGCCACCTCTTTTCCGCGAGCTTCGTGATCACGGCTATGGGGCTACAGGCACAGCCCGCCCTAACTGTGGCATGCATAAGGACCTAAAGAGGGATAAGGCGCTCGATAAATTAGGGCGTTGTGACTATGCCTTCAATGAAGTCAGGGCTATCCCGACGAGGGATAATAAGCATACATGGGCACTTTCGTTCGTTCGTTCGTTCGTTCGTTCCGTTTAAAACGTTTATGCATGTTAAATCGTTTAACCGTTTAAGGGCATCCTAAAACCGTTTGAACGGTTAAACGATTTTCTAGCCCTGTCCTGGTAACAGGTCATTGATCGTGCGATTAGAAAGAAGGACAAAATCCAGTCCTTCATGTCTGATCACGAAGAGGCCATCGGAGACAATCGGCTATTAGTTGGAGATTGGGAGTTGCTAGGCAAAGCACATACGTTTCTTCAGCCATTTGCTTCAGCAGCATTGTATGCAGAGGGAGATGAGTCGTCTATCTCACAATCGTTGATGCTGATGGATATGTTGTTACTCCATTACGAAGAACAACAGGTACCCTTCAATCTATCCACATCAAGTCGATTACTAACATTGTATCAGAAGATATATCAGTCGGATGAACACTCCGACGAACGGATGGTTCGAGCCATCGATATGGGATGGTTTATCCTCTCTAAATACTACCGCCTAACTGACGAGGTTCCCGTATACGCCGCCGCTCTCCTCCTTGATCCCCGTAAACGCATCGCGTATATCAAGCAGAACTGGCCAAAGGAATGGCATGAAGATACTATTGCCTCGGCCACAGCATTCTGGCAAAAGGAATTTAATTACGAGCAACCCAGCGACCATCCCTCCACCCCCACGTCGATGCCACCACCGCTAGCAAAGAAGCTAAATCAACTCGCGATACTATCAAAGAAGCTGGAGGTTAGGACTATTAACGCGAGTGTTAGGGATGATTTCACTAGCTTCATCAACGTTGATGCAACAGATATCCCTCCGGATTGTACGCCTTTGGAGTGGTGGTGTCAACCACAGCAGAGAAAGCAGTATCCGAAACTTAACCGCACGGCTATTTGCATTCTTTCTATCCTAGCAGAGTCATCGGAGCCGGAGAGGACGTTTTCTGGGGCAAGAAGAACATGTTCATGGGATAGATTACGAGCCACATGCAAAACCGTCGAGATGATTGAATGTACGGGCAATTGTTTGCGTCAAGGACTCATACGGCCTCTGCATGAGAATGAGATGGGTCTAATCGGAATCCCACGGCCGGAGGGTGACTCTCAGGACGTTGACGATGACAGTGGGCACTACTTTGACTGGTATTAGAGCAGGCGCGGTGGATATTTCTCACCGTCATAAATCGTTCATTCGTTCGTTTAAATCGTTTATTCGTTCGTTTAACCGTTTGCAATATTTTTGAACCGTTCAAACGTTTGAGGAAATATTCGGCCGTTTAAACGGTTTGCCCATGTATGATAATAAGGTGAGAAGCTATTTCACTTTTCTATATATTTCCTTTGCTAATATGTCTTCCCCTCTCCTTCCTAGGTCAATCAAATATCTTGGAAGGATAACAGCCTTGTGCTCTTTATTACGACTGTCTTCCGAGGCGATGAGCGTACTGAGAAGAAGAGGAAGAAGCCGTCTGTAGAGCACCTACGGGCCCGGCCAATACAGCAGTTTTTTGGTGATGAGACCGCTAAAGTCGTTCCAATACCGACAGCGGCTGCTGCTTATAACGATGAAATGAACCATGTAGACCGAGGTGACCAATTGAGGTCATACACAAGCTATGATCACCCCCTTCGCCGGGGGGCTTGGCAGGCTCTGACCTGGACCTTCCTTCTTGATGTTGCACTTACTAATAGCTATATCCTTCAACTACATGGTCCCCAGCCAAATTGGGAGAGATATAAGTCACAGGAGGATTGGCGGAAGTGTATTTCAAACGCCCTATTTAACACATATCATCAAGAAAGCCAAGCAAGAAAGCTCTATCGGTCAGGGGCTGAAGAGGACATCAATAATCAAGAAACACGGCAAAAACACATAGACAGGAACATCAACCATGTCTATCGTGGCCGTTATTCAAGGTGCCTAGCTTGTCAGGGCTTTCGGCAAGGGCAGATAAGGTCAAAAGGCCCAAATAGGCATGCTTTCGCTGAAATCAGCGGTAACGCAAGAGGAAGGCATCACAGCCGGCAGACTAGGTATGGGTGTAAGATATGTGATGTACCGATTTGTAATAATGAGACCTGTTGGTACTTCTACCACCGCATAATTTAGGTGGCACACGAGGTACCTTCTGTTCAGTGAATTTTAATTGGCTACGACCCCTCATAGTGACCTGGTTGGAGCCCCTTGAGCTCTTAGGAGATAAGCAGAACTTATCGTGGGGTCGTTTTGCGGAGTAATTTCGGGAAATCGTATGTGATTACACAACTACCATCTGATAAGTGCCCGGCGCCGCGCAGGCGAATAACTCGATGTTTTGTAGCCTAATCGAGGCCATTTCGGGTCTGGGAGACTGCTACGATCCGGCGGTGCGTTTGGTTCAAGAGCAGCGCCATATAGGCTACCGGGCGCCGAGATATTTGCGTGTGCAGCGCCTGGAAGGAATTGGGGGAAGGGGGGGGGGGGGGGGGCTAGGCTTTGCTGCAAGGACTACGAGATAGCAATGCACTGTCATATGGCAATGTTGGGGTTCGGGATCACGGGCTATTCAGAGAACAAAAGTTTATCAACACAACACGAAAATGAAGCCGAAGATAGAAGCAGCTTCGACGATTGACCTTGACTCTGTCCTGTATTTTTTGTAGCTCTGTAGCACGAGTTGTAAGAGTTTGTAATGATTCTCCGACTAAAGGTTGATGAAAAGCTCGCTGACATAAGGAAATCCTGCGTCAGAAAAAACCTGAATAGGAAAAGCGCAGACCCGCAACGTCAGAAAAAATCGAAAGTGGAATAGTGTCGTCGTCAGAAATATTCAAGAGAGGAATAGCTTCGTGATGCCGCATATGATTGGCTTACCCAAAGAACGTAGTGTGACGGGATGGCAACCACGACGGATAGTCAGAGGTGATAGATCGATTCATCTCGAGATCTCCAACTATTTCCAGGCTGGAGAGGAGGTTCACGAGCAGTTCTCTCGCCCACAAAGGCTTTCTCTGCCCCATTGGAAGCTGATCTTGTGATGAAGAACACCGGAAGGACCGTAGGATTTGTTCTTGGATCATTCGACAAGGGTGTTGTCCTGTCACTTCACGAACAAGCCACTGAACTTTGTTTACTTGAGAAAACAACTGCCGAAATTGTGATCCTACATAAAAATGCTTGATTCCCGTTGTAGAATAACCCCCTAGTGCATTAATAACACATCGCCTCACCTCCGCATGGTTTCTCTCATTTTATCAGAAACACGTTTTTGCTTACCATCTCCACAAACCTCATAAACAACCGCCTAATCCAGCTTTTACTGGGTAACTCAGCATCGCTTAGACCATCCACGTAGAAGAAACCATCTCTTCTCCGTCGAACATATCCGCTTCGTTCAATACCGTACATATGCCTGGGGAACCACCAAGACGTCGGGGACGACCCCGAAAAGTACACACGGAAGAGGAGCGGCTAGCCGCCCAACGGGAGCATTCGCAAAAGTACCGTCAACGTGTACAACAAGATAAAGGAGAATCTTTGTCATACACCGGACACTATCAGCATATCCCTTATGTTCCAACCAGTTCATCAGCCAAGGCCCAATTGCCACCACACATCATCTTACCGAACGACTCCTACCTGCCACTTGACCTCAGTTATGGGGACCCAGGACAGCCTATCCTAGCTGCGAGGCGGATACAGGTCTCACTACAAGTCAGCAACGACCTACTGTACCAATTACCACTGGTAATGGCACCTAATACCATTTTTTGCGGCCTGTGCACCTCCCTCTTTTGGTTTTTCTGGGGGATTTGGGTCTGGGTCGGAATATAAGAATATTTGGCCCGTGCGCCCTCTACAACTTTCCAGGACCCCCGGTGCTGATTCCCTGTCACCACAAATAGGAAGCATCTTTTGTATTACGAAAGGTGCGCCGAAAACTCAATTTGGAAATTTTGGGCGTTGTATCCCCTATTTATATGATTCCATTGGACCTAAAAACCTGATGCCGGCATCCACTCCACTCAGCGCTCTTGGTTAATGCGTTTTTTGCCAGTATCATTGTCGCACTTAGGGTGCTTAAAGGGTTAAAGTGAATATGATGAGCAGCAGCAAAATGTTTTTTTTTATTGTTCTTCAGTTGTTACTTGTGCGGGGTATTCCATCCCGCAGAGTTAAAGCATATAGGTAGATTACCAATACTGTTGTTTCCTGAGGCCGTGAAGATCATGCCTACCCTGAGACATTATGCTTTCAAGTTATCGTCGTAATAGAAGTTCTTCGGACTGAATAAACAAAGCAGTGCTTGCATGTTGCCTTCCAATTTTCGCGCTACAGGAGAAATTAGCTGCTGGCTCTGCCTCTAATGCATCGGGAGCCATGAAAACGGGGTCCAAACCGGATGGTTGGGCAGATTTCTATAGCTTTTGGCATTCTATTATGCAGTCACCTACGGAGGCAATTTTAATAACCGCGTGGCAGCATATAAGAAAAAGTATCTTCCAGATCATTCTAAAGAGGTTGTATATACCGGTTTAAAGAAGATGTGGCTTGAACCGTATAAGGAAAAACTTGTCATGGCCTGGGTCGATCAGCATATACCGGTATAACTTTGTTAGGATGTTTGAGAGGCACATCAACTGTATACACTCTTTGCTTTCTGGAGGTCATTATCCCTTCCGATAATCTTAGCATAGCTTTATTCATCTATTCTAAGGCCCTTTTTGTAGGACAGTGCTTGAAGAGTAACATTTTTCAGGAAAGAGTAGGAGGACGACCCTAAATTTCCCATCTGCACCCGAGTTCCTCACAGCATACGTGCTCAAAAGAAGCAATATAACACCAAAAACAACCATTCAGACCCAACAAAGGGTCTATGAACTAGACCCCATAGTTTCTTGATATCATCCCAATTATCAAAGCCTCCCTGGCAAAAGAACCAGAAAAGCATTATAACCTAGACGTTCCATGGATGTCACTGCATACAAGCGAACCCGATCCATCCTTGGAGGGGGGACAGGGCTCCCCATTCTGTGCCAAGTATCCCGAACCATGTGCTGCTGGTTGTTGATTACATTAGGGCCAGCTTCGCAAGTGACCTTTTCGAGAAGGCAACCTTGCGGGTCGTGTTCAACGTGCGTCTGGTCAAACCGGAGGACCTACTTTATCGTGGGAAGAGAAGATTCGGATGCGGAGGCTGAAGCTGAGGCCGACTTTGATGACGTGGATGAACTATTTAACGGTTTTTGGGCGCAAATAGTTATTCTGGATCGCAATTGTAAGCATAAGAGTTTTTGATAAGTTCTCAGATGGAGGGGGCGGATGGTACTCACAGCGTCATGAAGGAATGGTATTGTGTGTTGCCAATCTCTTTCCGCACATCAACCAGAAACGACTTGACTTGATCCGGAGACCAGCCTAACGCTTGCGTAAAAACAGGCATTGTTAATGGCTTAAGAACAAGCAGCCAGTTCTGTGTCATTAGATGGCCTATGCGCTGCAACTTTTTCCCAGGATAGCATGCATTTGTCGGCGCGCCGTTTCTGGTCTCAATGATATGCTCAAAGCCTGTTTCCTGTAGCAATGGCTTGAATTTATTCGGGTAGTACAGCGTTGTACCAAAACTGCGCATTCCTTGCTCTAGCAGATCATTCCATTTGCGGAATGCGGTGCCGTCCAATGAATGATTTGGTGACTGTAGAATTGCGATCCATTCCGTAAATTCGACCCATCCTCCAGGCTTCAGGTTGTTAAAAGTTGATTGGACTAACTTCTTTTTATCCTGAATATCGCCAAGTTGTCGAATGTGAATAAAATCGAAGTCACCGCCGCCGGTGAAGTCCCAATCATGCGTAATATCCATTGCCATAAAGCTACAGTTAGATCTGGTATAAGGCGGCTGGACCGGATAAATGTCCACGGCTAGAACGGAACAGTAAGGGTGTATTTGGGCTACCAACCAAGGCCACGATTGTTAGCTTCAATGGCCATGGCACAGAAGGACATGAACGGAAAAAAAAAAAAGACTTGCCAAATTCCTAAATACGGCAAAATGGTAAATGTTAGCAAAAGATGCAAATCATTACATTCGTTCAATGATAAGAAGTTACCAATGCCCATGCTCCAGGGCCAGTGCCGACATCAAGGACCCGCCTCGGCTTTGATGAGATAGGTGCTAAATGAAGCTGCCCTTCGAAGACATCGATGATGACGGTGTGCTGAATGACTGGCGCAATCTGTCAGCAAGCACACAAGCTAAAGAGTAGCGAGGGGGTGGCGCGCCCGGGGCCTCAATCCATACCATTTCTGGTTTGTTCTTGCTAAAACGAAAGCGCATTAGCACACGAGTAATTAAGATGCGTGCTGTCGAAGAGTATGATTGATGGGTGAGACGGGAATATACCTGGTTGTTTGGCAGCAAGCCGTAACCTGTGAATTGTTTGATTAATTCTCGGATGCCAATGGCTTGTCAGAACCGGGAGACGGACGAACAGAGGATTTGTTGAACTTCTTGACGAAAGATTGAAAGAAACGTTTGGAGCGTGACCCACTGACCCGAGTGGAACTACTTTGCCAAGTCAGCATGAGCAAACAGATGAACCAATCAGCCAATCTACCAGTATGGTAGGTGATATTCGCAGGTAATGAAGTGATACTGAACTAATAGCAGCATAATGGGTAATTCTTACCGTTCCAAAGGCCGATAACTCGTCATGTATTCATCTGAAGAATCAGAAGAGTCATCTAGATCCTCCTTGGGCCGAAGACTGCTTGGCTGATCAACGGCATGGTCTTCAATCGTAGGCTATTTCTCAATAGTCAGAACGCCATCGAATCGCAATTTGGCTCATGGAATTCCCACATCATCAACTCCGGCTCTTGCAGCCGCTGCCGGGGAAAGCGTTTGCCGGTCCCATCCGCCTGAGCGACGTGAGCGTCCGCTCACGGGTGTGCCAGGGATACCCCCGCTCTGGTTTTGGTTTTGGCTGTCACTAGACACGCTAGAGGCGTAGTACGACGAGGAGGCGGCGGTGAGTGCCGACATCGAGGCTTGCGCAGGGGGCCTCGTCATGACTGATGACTGCAGAACTAGGGAGCCCGTGGACCTGCCACCACTTCTCGTTGAACTTGAGTCGTGCCCATTGTCCGTTGCGTAAGCCATTTGTTGTAACGAGAGTGAAAAATAAAAGAAAGAAAGTGAGAAATGGAAAAGAAAAAAATGTCGGTAGTTAGGCCTTCGCTGATCGATTTGCTGCAGGAATTATATTCGCGGTTCCGACGTTGTCAAGTCAAGCTTATCGAGCTAATGGGTCGGAATGGATGGGGGCATGTTGCTCTTCTTTAATTTCTTCCTGCCCGTTTGGTACTGAACCCATCCTTCTCTCGTTCTCTCAGTTGTCATCCGAGTCTAGCCCTGTCCGGTTAGCTCAGAACCCTCAGCGCGTCTCCACTAATAACGGATCAGGAGGATTCTCGCTAGCTCTAGCTCTAGTGCAGTTTAGAGTTTATCACATTTTATCACATTGGTTCAGTAGCCTATCCCTGGTTATATGTAGAGAGTACGGAGGCTAGGAGGGAAAGAAAACACCGAACTCGATATCTGCGAACTTTGGCGTGAACGAGTTCGGTATTTTCTTCCCCCGTGAGGAGGTTAGGTTTAAAAGCTCATACGTGCTAGGACCGCCACTTAATTACTCCCAGAAATCCTGATAATATTAGGCTACCTAATTTGTACAGGGATCTACTATCTCCTAAGAGGTCATAAGGCTCCAACGCGGTCATGACGAGGGGGTGTAGCCATTTAAAATGCACAGAATAGAAGGTACTTCTACCGCCACCTAATCTACGCGGTGATAAAAGTACCAACAATTTCCATTGTCACAAATCGCTACATCACATACCTTACAGCCGTACCTAGTCTGTTTGCCCTGCACCTGCTTCTTGTATTACCGCTGATTTCACTGAAAGAGTGCCGTTTTGGCCCTTTTGACCTTATTTGCCCTTGTCGGAAGACAAGGCAGGCTAGACACCTTGCCTTACGGCCTCGGTAGACATAGTTGATATTCCTGTCTATGTGTTTTTGCTGTGTTTCTTGATCCTTGATGTCCTCTTCAGTCCTTAACCGATATCTATTTTTTGCTTGACTTTCTTGATATATTTGTTGAATAAGGTGTTTGAAATGCAATTCCGCCAATCCTCCTGTGACCTATATCTCTCCCAATTTGGCTGGGGACCATGTAGTTGAAGGATATAGCTGTTAGTAAGTGCAACATCAAGGAGGAAGGTCCATGTAAGTGCCTGCCAAGCCCCCCGACGTAGGGGTGATCATAGCTTGTGTGTGACTCAATTGGTCACCTCGGTCAACGTGGTTCATTTCATCGTCATAAGCAGCAGCGCTGTCGGGATTGGAATGAATTTATGGGTCTCACCAAAAAACTGCCGTATTGGCCGGGCTTGCAGGTGCTCTACGGATGGCTTCTTCCTCTTCTTATCGGTACGCTTATCGCCTTGGAAGAGGGTTATAAGAAAGAGCACAAGGCTGTTATCCTTCCAAGCTAGTTAATTGACCTAGGCACGAGAGAAAGAGATAGGTTAATAAGGAAAATATATATAAATTTATTTTGCAAACTCACCAGGTTATCCTTCGTTGGGATAGACCTGACTTCATTGAAGGCGTAGTTACAACGCCCTATTTTATCGAGTGCCTTATCCTCTTTAGGTCCTCATGTATGCCACAGTTAGGACGGGCTGTGCCTGTGGCCCTGTATCTGTGATCATGAAGCTTACGGAGAAGAAGTGGTGTTGTCATTGAGAAGAGGTTATCCACAAAGACGTGATATGTCTGCTTTGGCAGTGAAACACAGAGGGAAACAACAACGGCCTGCGTATTGCCCAGTTGTGTGAGAGCAGCTGCCTCTTTGCTAGCTGCCTCTTTTTCTTGTGTGCTGGGGCGGCCTCTCTTTTGCCTTTGCCCCCCTACCCAAGGCATCATAATTTAAGCCTTTGAAGTGCCAAAGCCACCGAATAAAGAAGCCTGCTTGGGCGATGACCCATATCTTGAAGCCAAGGAGGGTCGATTTCCCTTTGACAACAGTTGTCGCTGTTGATCTGCCTGTGTAGCGGACCATACACTCATCTACAGCGAGATGAGGGCCTGGGTGGAAGAATGCAGCTGACAATCTCTGTATGTAGTCAGACCACTCATCAGCAGCTTGGAATATCTTCGGAAGGGGGGCGTTTTCATCGATCTTGGTGTGGTCAAAGGGAAGAAGATAGCGGTGGATCAACTGAAATCTCCAACAGTGCGGGAGCCCTTATGTTGCTTGCAGAAGCTCTTGTCATTATAGGAATCGACCTCCTGCCTTTGATCGGGATCTGAAGAGGTATCCATTGATTGAATCGCCATGAATTGTATAGTAATTTGGCTATGAAAGGCTGGAAGCTGGAGCCTTTGGTACCCCGCTCGTACTGCTGTAATGACAGGGATAAGGTGGGGCGGGGTACGGATTGCATGAATGAATGAATTTATTCCGCCCGGGAGGATACGCCTCATAGGGCCCACGACATTAAATCTCGTTACATTCTTTTCCGACTTCTGGTCCTGAGACCCTGAAACCTCACCAATCCCTACTCTTCATCACATTTCCCAGCCTCGCTTGTCCCTACGACAGGCCTGCTTGAAGGCCAACTTCTCCAAGTGTTCAGCGTCCCATCCTCAGCGGCTGAAGCCTGGTCTGTCTACCAGAGGCTGTACTATGTTAGTTCTTATTATCTTGTTTGGTTTGTTCCTATGTTTTTTATGTCTGTGTAGCATCCAAACGGCCTGTGCTTATCGCAAACTTGATCGCTGCTCGCACTGCTCTCAAGTTCGGGCTCCACCTGTGCCCGTCCTCTGCTGTCTTGCCTCCCAGGAAGAATGAAAGATTACCCATCATTTCCCGGTCGACAATTCGCATGTGTTCTCGTTGCTCGTCCCACCGTGGACGGTACGGATTGCAGCCTGTTGGGCTCTTAGCAGATAGTCATTTAGACCTTTTCTATTAGTAGTGGCACCCTTAGCTCAGCCCAATGTCGCACGAGGCGCCCGCTACACGCGCGCCCGGATGCGCATTTAGAATTTTTTACGTTTTCTATAATAACCTAACATTTCATTCATATTAAATTATAAAAACTCTGTATGTAATATGTAATATCATCATAAATATGCTTATGATCTTAATTTTCTTATTATAATTTTCTTTAATTTTATTATAATTATTAAAAGTTGAATGAGACTAATCGCGCACCTGGGCGCGCGAATTTCATGAATGATGACTAAGCGCAGGTTGAAATACCTTATAACTAATTGAATATTAAAGATATAGTGATTAAAGTAAGATATATATATAGATATAATGTAATAGATATCATAGATATTTTTCCCTAATTTTTAAATAAATTCTACTAATTTTGTAGAATTTAAAACGTAAAAAATCTAAAAGCGCGCCCGGGCGCCTCTGTAGCGGGCGCCGTCGCACGACTAGACGCCACCAAGGCACCCATTACCTACAACTTGATCACCCACCTTGATATTACGAATGAACCGAAGCTTGATTGCCGCATAAACACATGTTACATCAATGAGCGAATGCCAGCAGGCGTAAGCTCCGCGCTGGGAGGACAGCCTATCCCTCTGAGTGCCACAGCCCTTAGGAAGGTCACTCGCCCCACTTAGCTTAGTCATAAGGTTAGTACGTGCAGGGTACCGGAAGTTCGTAAGAGATTTGCCAAGTCCGTAAGGTAGCTCTTTGTAACAATCAAAACTGCTGGGACTTTTACCATCATACAAATTAGTATGTGTGGAAAAGTACCGTTAGTTTCATTTATCTTGATTGGCTCTATACCCCTGTCGTGACCCCGCCTAAGGGCTGTGGCACTCAAAGGGATAAGTACGCGCAAGGTGTCTACCCCTCTTGGCAGATGCCGCAAGCCTTTCGTGCTGGTATTACCCCGTCAACCAATAATTCTATTGATGCAGATAAGCTGGTTAGCAAGGGGTTCAAATGGGATGTCCCAATCTGACCAGTTCAGGGGACCTAAACTTTCAAGCAGGCCAACGGATCCTCATAATATCTAGAATATGGCTCACATTCACCTTCAGTTTCGTCCTGTCCCAAAACATTGGGTTGTAGTTCGAACAAATAGCCATGGCTCAGCCAGAGCACTTGTTATTAAAAGCGACTGCGTTCGCCCAGTCAGCGACAGCATGTTATGGATACCCTACGATATGGTGGGACTTGCCTCTGCAACAATCGATCTCATGCAGCCACTCACTCAAGAGCGCAGCCTTGGCTCCTTTGAAGACCTCGAGTCATATGCCCTAGACAAAACTCAGTATACTTATACAAGGGTCGGAACCACTACATCCACTCCACTTTGGGACTAAGTAGAATGGATGTACGATTTTTTGGCAATTACATAGTGAATGTAGCACATATTCGACCGGAGTGGAATGGATGTACACACGTGGATTTATAAGTGGATTTATAGTGGATTTTTGAGGCTATTCACAACCTCGTCGGTGCCTATTCAGCCTCACTTTCAGAGGTTGACACTAACTCTTCAGCCTGTTGCTGCTGTGATGAATCGTCAACCTCGCTGGCGCTGTCCTCGCCCTCCAATAGCCATTTTGTCTCAGCAAGCGCCAGATCGTCATCGCTTAGAGTCAAGCAGCCGGCATCCAGCTTACTTTCAAGATGTGACTTAAGCAATGGATCCAGGTCTTTGATAAGGCCAGCACGGTACCAAGAGCGTAAGACCTGACATATGGCGATGATCTCAGCATCCAGGTTCGTACGCAACCCCGAGACCATCTTGCCAGCAGCTGAAAATAACCTCTCACACTCCGCTGACATCGGCTGAATCGTCAGGAAGTCCAAGGCCATCCTGGATAACCGAGGATATCTGCTTTGCTTAGTGATCCAGTAACCAATTGGATCACGAACGTTGCCGTCGCTGGCGTCACGATCCGTCTGCCACGCTTGGTACTCGTCACCAACAATAGCTGCTGCGTGGGCTGGTAGTGAGTTCGGCACACGACTGTTCTTCTCGAAAGGGTTGAAAAACCGAGGTCTTTTTGCCGGTGGCTCGTCGTCGCCTCTGCTGCTGCTGGTTCTAACCTTGAGATGAGCGTAATCGGACAGCCAGACGTCGGCAACCATCTCTTTTGCCTTTTCAACCCAACTAGGCTTCTGAGCCCATGTTTCATCAAACCAGTCCCAACGATAAGCTGGATGGAGTGCCATAGCCGTATAGTAGATGGGTTTCTCGTCCAGCTGCTGATAATATTCATCCAGTTTATCCCAAGCAAGGTTGATTTTGATGCGGAAGTGCTCTGGATCAGGAAAGTCAGCAGCAAGCTGCTTATATTCTTCCAGTGTGTTAAGCAGCAACTCGCAGCCAAGCACCACGTCCCAGATATTGTCATAGGAGCCAGTCCAGCCTTGCTTACGCCTGCGGATGTGTCCATCACCCTCAAGCGTCTTTACCACGGTCTCAAAAACAGCCAGAATAGCCTCCAAATGGTAAAGAGCCTCCCAGTCTCTGACCAAGTCCAGCCTCTGAAATGGCGAAAAAGACGGTCTTCGAGTTGCTGCTGTTGGCCTGGCTGGTTGGCTGACATCGTCGATTTTTTTCTTTTTTTTTCTTTTTTTTTTGCAAAAACAAAACAGGAAATCTGTAGAAAACGCGCTCAATAGGGGTAGTTTCTCGTATAATGTTAGAAGATTAACTGTAGGGGTGATCGACCTCGGCTAACTTGGGTCCAGGTACCTCGATTTAATAGGCAACTATATACAAAAATACGTACTGTGAACTGTACACGGTCAGGGAATATCTCACTGTATCTAAATCCACCTAAATCCACTCCATTACATCCACTTTCAGGTCAAAGTGTAGTGGATTATTACGTAATCTGAGCGCCGACAAGTGGATGTAATAGAGATGGGCCACTTATATGTGGTCCACGTGGATATGCAGTGTAGTTGGTCCGACCCTTGTACTTATAGAATGCAGCCACTGACGCTCATGCAGCTAGGCAATGAGTTTTTCCTGGATCAGAAACCTCCGAATATGAATGTCTTTTCCGTCTTGAACAACCTCAGACCTTCGCCAGGGAGTTGACATGTTAACGACCTAGACTCCATCTTATGGTTATCGGTTATCACTCAGATATGGATCTGGATCTATTGGTACTCAGCCCAAGCCTTTCAAACGGGAGCAACCCCACAAATGAGAACATCCTTAACGTCCTGGGAGTGGCCAACGTAGGGATCCAGTTTCTGGCACTCCGTCCAGTTTTCGTACTTTCCATATGGATAGCGATCTGACATTACCTTCAGAAACTCCTGTTTCCACTACTGTGTGTTGCGACATGATGTGGCAGCCACAATTGCGCGCAAAATTTCTCTAGCGCCGGCATCTCGAATATATCTGTATCGGCTGTTACCGACATTAGCGAGTATCCGCGAAGGGTCCTCGTGATTGTGCGGAGGGTGGGGTGTGGCTGTGAACTATAATCTGAGGATTTCGGCATTAATGAGAATGCTGCATCCCCAGAAACGACAGTTGAGTCATGATATTGCTTGCATTCCACGAGCGGGGATAGATAGGGAGCGCCCTTAGGCACCATTGCTGAACACGTCGCTTAAGGGAGGGCGGCAGCTTTAGTTTGGGTGGGTGCTTACCCCGCCCTCGGTTGTTGGTAGATGAGAATGCAAGAGGGCAATCTGACCCCAAGTTGCTGGACCTCGACTATTATCGCACTTGGTCGTATTGGTCAAATTGATTCATATGTTGCGTAATTTCCCATAAGAAGATGAAGATATTAAACATCTCTACTATCTGCCGCAGATGTAATTTAGGGTACTAAGGGCGGAAAATCGGCATAGAATAGCGCATGACTCGTCAGCATTTGCTTTAAAATATGAGAACTTTTAGTACGCTGCATCGCATTTCTCACGCGCCTTAATTGATAGGTTTAAAGACGTGAGAAAACTTTCTTAGTTACCCGCCATACGACCAATGAGAAGGAGATTTACTGACATTAACAGCCAACCTTGCGAAAAGCATATTAGCGGTCGGTTTGATAAGCGTCATCATGCCCGCGAGGCTTGAATCAGTATACCGTACAAAGTCATGAAATTAGGTAGTGCTTGTGGGTCCGGCATTTATAGTGTAGTTTCAGTCAGCCTATTAGTACCTATTAAATTCAAGTCTTCTATTGCAACAATTCCATAGCCAAGGATTCATCCATCACCACTCCAGTAATTGTACGACCTTCCTTGGCGTCAAATCATGTTGACTTTTGGCCAAGCGAGCGAGAGCAGCCCATCAGTGGCATTCTTTTTCGCTGGCTGTATAGCAATCACCCTCTACAATGCTTTGGAAATCATTATTTTAATCTTTGTCACCTTTAAGAGATTCTCCGGATGGTATTTCTGGAGTCTTTTAGTCGCAAGCCTTGGCCTAATCGTCGCCACCATTGGCTTCTCGACCTACTTCTTTAAAATAACCCCACACACGTACCTTCAAAGCGCCGTTACAATTGCCGGATGGTGGGCCTTCATCGTTGGGCAATCGCTTGTCTTGTGGTCAAGACTTCATCTTGTCCTCCAGAGCCCCTGTATCCTTCGCAGTGTTCTGATAATGATTATTATCAACGCTGTCATCCTTCTCATTCCCACGACAGTCTTAGCATTCTGCTATAACATTGTCCCAGTCCCGAGGGCAGTTAAACTCGGATATAAGGTTATGGAGCCCATCCAAATCACCATATTCTGCGTCCAAGAGTTGATCATATCCGGGCTCTACATCTGGGGAACGGCCAAGATCCTGAAATACACGGCGGAAGAAAGGAAACAGCGATTGATGGTAGAACTCATCATTATGAATGTGGTTCTTATCATCATGGACTTCGTTCTTCTAGGCGTCCAATATGCAGGCTTTCGAATCCTTCAAAATGTCCTTAAATACTTTGCATACAGCATAAAGTTGAAGTTCGAACTCGCAGTACTCGGCAGATTAACAAAGTTTTTCCAAGACCAGGCACTTACTTTTACTTCAAGTAAGTTTAGCATATCAGGCCCTATATATTGAAATTTAGCTAATAGTAATTAAGCATCAAATTCTGGCATTATAAGGATAATAAGCTAACGTACATGATAAGTGAGTGTCTCAGACAAGTGAGTGTCTCACCTCACTTTACACCTAAAAAGCTTACTTTTAAAAGTTTATATAGAATTCAGGCTAAGCCTAAGAAAGCTAAAAGCTTTGTAGCTTATTTTTAACTGTATAAAAAAGCTATATCTCTTTGAGCGGCACAAGGCATCAAAGCGGTCAATACAGGGGTAACGAGCCAACCAGAGGAATTAATTCTGCCAATACAGACCAGCTTGTATATAGAAGACTGATAGCCAATAAGGATAGCTTGAGAAGGATAGAAGCCAATAGGAGAGGCTTAAAAAAGAGGCTATACTGTAATAGAGGTAGACCAGTTACAGAGAAATACAGCCCTTTTGGAGACAGCCTCACCTATCTTATGTAGACTTGCTGTACGTGGGGTCAAGTGGGGCAAGTGACTTCTTTGATGCCTTGTGCCGCTCAAAGAGATACTTCATAAAAGAAATATAGCTAAACCATTTATAGAGTGATTAAAGAAAATCTATTTATACTGTATTTTAAGAGGTTTTTTATATAATGTAACATTAAAAAAAGTCCAAAAAATAATATCTTAGTTTTAAAAGATGTACTACTTAAAACTATAATTTTTAATTTTTTCTATTATTTTATTTTAAATAAAAAAGTGCTATAGGGTAAGCTGTTTTTAGGTAGCACAGTATAGTGAGACACTCGCTTGTCTGAGACACTCGCTTATCACATACGTTAGCTATAATAAATTAACTATTAAGATATACCTTTTAGAATTTATGCTAAATTACACTTAATTAGTTAAGGGTAAAGGCATTTAAAAGGGTATAAAGTCTTAAATTAAAGTAAGTAATAGTATTAAGGGATATTAATACTAGCTAGACGAAACAGCTGTCATGTCTATCCCCATTACGGGTTTGATGCAGAACCATGTTGACGGATCCTTGTACGAGCGTATTAGAAACCCAACAGACGTGCAGTTCTAATTCATTTTTATTCCATAACTCGCCCATAGAGCTCCCCTGTTTAGGGTGTAGCTTACGGGATGGTACGGCCGATCGGATCCGCGGATCCGCCATGGTATAAGTTATCCCTTTGACTGGCGTAAGGCAGCACCTAGGTCACGAGCAGGGATTCCAACCAATCATAGAGTCATAAGCTTAAGGTACGTAAAGCCCCGCCTAATTCAAGTGATGCCAGAAGTCCTAACATTTTCCAGAGGTATAAAGAAATACCTGGCATTGCTTATACAGTATCGTTGGTCCACTCACTTGTCTGGTCCACTCGCTTATCATGTACGTTAAACTATATTTACCTAAATAATATATATTAAAGGACCTTATATTACATTAATATAATAATTTAGTTCTTTTATAAGAGACATTAGTAAAAATAAAAGCCTTAATTTTAAAAAAGTGCTTACTTAGTTATTTAATATATTAGCTAACAAATAATATAAGATATATAATAACGTACATGATAAGAGAGTGGACCAGACAAGTGTTGAACAGGTGCTGGGGCCTCACGTACAAGCAGGGATACTTTAAGATTATTCAGTCCGAAGGACTTCTATGCCTTGAGGAACGAAAGGACCTTATGCCTTGAGGAACGAAAGGACCTTATGCCTTGAGGAACGAAAGGACCTTATGCCTTGAGGAACGAAAGGACCTTATGCCCCGCCCCCGACTTGGCCTTAAAAGAACCCCTCTCATTGGTCGGTTTCGTGTCTCCACTCAACGGGGACTGGACAGATGTGCCTTGAGGAACGTCAGACCCCTGGACCTCGAAAATCGTCATCCAGCCACCGCAGAGCCTCCTGAACAGTCTTGTTGCTCAATTCCTCTAGTCTGGCCTCTGCCACGGTCATCTCCCGGGGAACTTGGTTGCCCACCAGATCTCTTTCCCGCACCTTGGAGATGAGCATGATGCCGTCCAGCGACCGGCACCGAGACAGCTGCACGTACAGGCTGTACGGATCGCATTCCGCGGGGACTATGTGTCCGTCGACATTTGTCGTCCTCGCCCCCCGCAGCTCCAGGGCTACGCGCTCGAGCGTCCTGCTCTGCACTTTGTAGTCTGTGCACGCGAAAGCCGCGGCGCACGGCAGACCCTTTCGGCTGACGTCGTTCTGCTGCCACGGCCGCTTTCGCTGGCAATGTACGCTGACACTCGTGGGTATCAACAGGATCGTGCCGGGCGGCATTCCGACGAAGTGGAAGTTCTTTGTCGTTTCCGACTCCAGTATTATCCCCGCCGGCGGCCCGAAGTGGACCATCGTATCGGCAGAGATCCGATGGCCCGGGTGCGCCTTGTCGAGGATGACGTCAAGCGCTGTGTAACTGGCCCCATTGACAAGCTTCAAGCCCTGATGGGTATTGTGGTTCACGACGACGGGCATCCCTGGCACGAACATGAAGACGCCTGGTACTGGTACTGCGCTGTCGTCGCCCTGGTTCAGCATCATGGTGGCTTCTTCCTCGGTCGGCAGGCCGTGCTTCCACTTATGCTCGGATATGAAGATTCGCATCATCGACCGCTGCTGGATCTGGAACGACAAGGTCGCCTCCATGTTCAGGTTCCACCGATTCCGGTTCAGCGGCGTCACCACGGTGATGCCCGATTCCCACGGGATCCGCCTGCCTTCCCGGTAGCATCTTGAGTTGAGGAGGTCCAAATCCGTGCGGTCCTGCACGCCCGACCGGATCCGCTTTAGCAGTCTCTGCAATTCCGCATCTCCGGCGGCACGTACTTGTTCGTCCAACATGACGACCGTCGTGAACTTCTTCCACAACGCGTGCGCCTTGTCATGCCGGTGCCGTTGTTCGGCCTTGAACGAGTTGTCTTCGTCCCACGAGACGGCCACGCTCGGCAGCAGGATCGACCTCTCCTGAACCGGGCGGAACTGGTGGAAGTCTCCGCAGAAAAGGACGATGGGGATCCCGCCAAAGTCCTGCTGCGATCCGCGGAGCCGGCAGACCTGCTCGTTCGCCGTGTGCAGCGTCCGAGCTCCCAGCATGCTCACCTCGTCGACGACGAGCACGTCTTTCTCCTGCCAGTCCATACGAGACTGGCCATGGACAAATCGCTCAGCCTGTTTTGGCAGTCGCACACCGTCGAGGTCCTTGGCCGTGTTCGCGCCCGCCGCTTGGTCCTTGGAGAACCCGCAGGCCGAGTGGATCGTGATACCGTTGATGCGCGCTGCGGCAGTCCCCGACGTCGCCGTGATCAGCAGACGGTTCGAAATACCTTTTGATGCGAAGAGCTCGACAAGTGCTTCGATGACTCGTGACTTGCCGGTTCCACCTTCTCCACCAACAAATTCGCAGAGCTGACCGACATCGCCTCTGTCGCTACATTGTATAGAGTCGAGCTGGCGGCATATGATGAGGAAGGCGATTGTCTGCCTCCTGTTCAATGTGAACCGCGCTGCCAGAGCCTTACCTGCCTCAAGGAAGGACGTTGATGCACCGAAGTCGACTTCCATGCGCGGACCTGCCTCGGCTGCCGTCTCTTCCAAGTCGGCTGCCGTCATTTGGATATCCTCCTCGCCGAAACCAGTGAGCACACTTCGCACCGCCGCACTGTGTTCAGTTTTATCGGCCGCGGCCATATTTTGTAGGCCCTGGATCATTCGCTCCCTCTCTCTGGAGGCACAGATCTGCTGCGACTTGATCGCCTTGACCTGATCCTGCGGTGGTATAACCGTCCCCGAAAATGCCCCTTCTGGTATGCTTATCAGTCTTTCTCCCCGTTCG